CACACTAGAGGCCTGTTGCATGACTTTCATGCCCTGGGTGGGGAGGGAGGATCCCTGAGCTCAGCCTGGGCCCTCTTGCAGTCCGAGACCCCTTGAGGGATGTCCGCCCTTGGTGGTCAGTGAACTCCTACAGTGGGAGCACTGCTCAGCCAGAAGCCTGGCTCACGGCTGGCGAGCACTCCTACCTCCAAGGCCGTGCTAAGGAGCAGCAAGCCCGGCTTCTGGCTGAGGGGCGCTCCCCCTGTGGGAGCACACTGACCACCAGGGGGAAGCTCCTGCATTAAGCGTCTGCCCCCTGATGGTCAGTGCCTGTCATAGCGACCGGTTGTTCTTCCGCTCAGTCGATTTGCATATTACGGTTTTATTATATAGGATACTAGAGGTCCAGTGCACGGGGGGGTGGGGGGAGGGGGGGTGTCCCCTCAGCCTGGCCTGCACCCTCTCACAGTCCAGGAGAACCTCGGGGGATGTCCAACTCAGTGGGCCGGAGCGGGCCTAAGCCATCAGTTGGACATCCTTAGCACTACCGCGGAGGCGGAAGAGGCTCCTGCCACCACTGCTGCGCTCACCAGCAGTGAGCCTGGCTTCTGGGTGAGCGGTGGTCCCCCTGTGGGAGCGCACTGACCACCAGCAGGAAGCTCCTGCACTGAGTGTCTGCCCCCTGGTGGTTGGTGCACGTCATAGCAACTGGTCGACCGGTCGACTGTCTGCCCCCTGGTGGTCAGTGCACATCATAGGGAACAGCTGAGTGGCCTTAGCATATCACTAGCATGTTACGCTTTGGTTGAACGGACAACCGGACGACTCGACATTTAGCATATTAGACTTTCATTATATAAGATAGACTAGAGGCCCAGTGCAGGGGGGCAGGGCCTCAGCCCGCCTGCACCCTCTCATAGTCCAGGACCCCTTAAGGGATGTCTGCCTGCCAGCAGTCGGACATCCCTCTCACAGTCCAGGACCCCCCGCTCCTTACCGCCTGCCTGCTCACTGCTCCTTATCGCTCAACTTGGTGCTCCTTAGCACTGCAGCGGAGGCAGGAGTGGCTCCCGCCACCACCGCTGCGCTCACCAGCCATGAGCCCGGCTTCTGGCTGAGCAGCACTCCCACTATGGGAGCGCACTGACCACCAGGGGACAGCTCCTGCATTGAGCACCTGCCCCGTGGTGGTCAGTGCGCATCATAGCAACCGGTCATTCTGGTCATTCCTCCATAACGGTCGCTTAGGGTTTTATTATATAGGTAATCAGAAAACCATGGAAATATTCTATATTTCTTTTAATTCAATTTTTACAGTGAATGACAATGGTTAAGTGCTTTAAAAATAACATTTTTTAAGTAAGAACACATAGTAGTTGAAAAAAGTAACTTAATTTTTATAGAGAAAATTCTAACTCACTCAACCTACCTAATTTTTAAATTACAAGGACATATAAAAATACTCAATGAGCAAAACAAATACACTGACAAAAATAATAGTTTCATTCCATATTAAAGTCAATTAAAATGCCCTAGTCAAAACCGGTTTGGCTCAGTGGATAGAGCGTCGACCTGCAGACTGAAAGGTCCCAGGTTCGATTCCGGTCAAGGGCATGTACCTTGGTTGCGGGCACATCCCCAGTAGGAGGTGTGCAGGAGGCTGCTGATTGATGTTTCTCTCTCATCAATGTTTCTGACTATCTCTCTCCCTTCCTCTCTGTAAAAAATCAATAAAATATACTTAAAAAAATCCCTAGCTAGTATGATGGAGTTGGTTGGAGCATCGTCCCATATACCACAAGGTGGCAGGTGCGAATCCTGGTCAGGACACATACCTGGATTACAGGGCACTTACGGAAGACAACTGATCAATGTTTCTCTCTCACATTGATGTTTCTCTCTCTAAAATCAATAAAAAGCATATCCTCAGGTGAGGGACAAAAATAGTCAAGTAAAAAGATTTAGAAGCTGAGTATTTCCAGACTTTCCAGAAAGTAAAATGATTAGTACAGTAATCTATTCACTCAACACATACATAATGGCACTTTATTATATGCTTGATGTTGTTTTAGGCACTGGGAGTATTGCAGTGGACAAAACAAAGTTACTGACCTAATGAGGCTTTATTCTAGAAAAGGAAGACAATGAAACAAACAAGTAAATAATTTGGTATGGCTATAAGAGGGTCATTGCAGGGTAAGCAGAGAGAATGTGCAAAGGAAGGAGTTAGTATTTTTACATGACGTAACAGGAAGCCCTTACTAACATTTGAGCAAAGTTAAAGTACTTGATGCTACTGAACTGCACACTTACAAAATGGTCATGATGGTAAATTTTATGTTATGTGTATTTTACCACTATTTCAGAAACGAACAAGAAGGAAAACAGTACAGGCCCTATGAGGATGTGTACATATATATCATGTAGGGTCATGGAAGCCACTATTAAGTATTTTGGCTTTTTCTTAAAACACTAGAGGTCCAATGCACGAAATTCATGCAAGAGTAGGCCTTCCTTCCCTGGCTGCCGGCACCGGCTTCCCTCTGGCACCCGGGACCCGGGCTTCCCTCGCAGCCCCAGCTTCATCCAGATGGTCATCCGGAAGGACATCTGGTCTAATTACTTTTATTATTATAAATAGGATATCCCATGCCTGGCCAATGTGTTCAGTGGTTGAGCGTCAACCTATGGATCAGGAGGTCATAGTTCAATTCCCCATCAGGCAACATACCTGGGTTGCTGGCTCAATTCCCAGTAGGGGGGGCGTGCACGAGGCAGCCAATCAATGATTCTCTCATCACTGATGTTTCTATCCCTTCCTCTCTCTGAAATAAAAACATATTTTTCAAAAAATTTTAATATAGGGTGTCCCAAAAACATATGTACACACTTTTAACAGCTGACAAAGCAATTCATGTTTCTTTCTTTTCAGATTTAACCCATTGGAATTAATAATTATTCAAAGTGTGTATACATTTTTAGGGACACCCTGTACTAAGCTGCTGGATGATGGGGTTTTACTAATTTTTTATTTTGTTATTATGTGCTTTATTGAGGTACAATTCACATAACATAAAATTTACCACTTTAACCAATTTAATCTATATAATTTTCCAGTAGATGATTTTGACCAAGTAGCTTTTGAACAGGATCATACTGCCTGCTACACTGAGAAGAGACTGGGAGAACAAGAAAACATGGAGAACATTTAGCAGTTTTTACAGTAATTAAAGTGAGATGGATGCTGGCTGTGTCAATCAGGGTAGTTAGCAGTGGAGCTAGTGAGAATTCATCAAAATCTTCATATACTTTGAAGGAGAAGCTAACAGGATTTGCGTGGTATGAGAGAAAGACAGGAATCAAGAATAACTCCAAGTTTTTGTCAACTGAAGAACTGAGCTCCCACTTACTGAGATGGGAAAGACTATAGGACAAAAGACTGGGGATGGTTCTCAACCTTCTGGCCCTTTAAATACAGTTCCTCATGTTGTGACCCAACCATAAAATTATTTTCGTTGCTACTTCATAACTGTAATGTTGCTGTTATGAATCGTAATGTAAATATCTGATATGCAGGATGGTCTTAGGCGACCCCTGTGAAAGGGTCGTTCAACCGCCAAAGGGGTCGCGACCCACAGGTTGAGAACCTCTGGTAAGGGAATCAGGGGTTTGTTTTGGACATGGTAAGTTTGAAATGCCCATTAGACATCTAACTCGAGATGCAGTTGGGATACAGGAGTCTGGAATTCAAGGACTGGAGATAAAAATATGGGGGTCAACACCATATTAGGGGTTATTTAAAGCAATTAATAAGTTAAACACAGGTACAAAAACTACTTTTCCAAAGGTCTGTTGCCATTTAAATTAACAGATGAATTGTGTTCCATAACACAGACTATTTTCTTTCTCTAACTTCTTTATTTACATGAAGTAGGTTTGTGTGGAAGGAAATATAGCCGACAAATCTAGGAATAAAAAACAAAACAACAATCAGGAAGAAAACAAAAAATTCGTGTTCTGATGCTGAATATAGACCTGGAGTTTATTACCCATGCAGGGCAAAATGAATAACATGGAAGGACTCAAAGGACAGCAATCTATAACTCCTTTTATCCCTTCTAATAAAGAATAGAATACCCACTGGAGACATTCTCATATTAAGTTTTTAACAATGGACAAATAGATCTGTTACCTGACAATGATGAAAATAAAATACATTTAACCTAGAGTACAGTATGATGTTAGTAATCTGACATCAGTGGAAAATGACAGCTTCCACTGAGAAAAATTTCTAGATAACTCAAGTTTATCTATGTGCCGAATATCTTTCCATTTGAAACATTATTGATTTTTTTTCCTCTACCTTATCATCTTCTTGAGCTAGGCTCATCCTTATTAACATCTTAATCCTAAGAGGTCATACTGATGTGATAACTTCAATACTATTATATGTTACTAGAGGCCCAGTGCATGACATTGGTGCACTGGGTTGGGAGGGGTGTCCCTCAGCCCAGCCTGCGGCCTTTAGCAGTCTGGGAGCCCTCGGGGGGATGCCTGGGGAGCAGGCCTAAGCCGCAGTCGGACATCCTTAGCACTGCCACAGAGGCGGGAGAGGCTCCCACTACCACTGCTGCACTCAACAGCCATCAGCCTGGCTTGTGGCTGAGCGGCACTCCCCCTGTGGGAGTACAGTGATCACCAGGGGATAGCTCCTGCGTTGAGCTTCTGCCCCAACGGTCATTCCGGTCATTGGGTGGTAACGGATGCTTAGGCTTTTATATATATAGAAGATTGTGCCATTTTACGCAGTCCGGGAGCCCCATGATCAATCGCCCCACAGAGGGAGGCTCCGCCCACCCACCACAGCCTCTGGTCAGTGGCCTGGGCCTCCCTCTTTGGGGCAATCCATCGCAGAGCCCCCCCAACCAATCACCTCACCGGCCAGTGGCCTAGGCCTCCCTCTGTGGGGCGATCATGGGGCGATGGCAAGGCCAACCCCCAATGAATCACATTACACCTGCCTTGGCTGGCCTGATGCCAGTGTGTGTCATAGTGTGGTCGTCTGGACGATAGGTCTGCTGTTCGGCCGTTCAGTCGATTTGCGTAGTATGCTGTTATTATTATAGATAGCTCCATCCTGCAGTGTGGTTATTTGGCCAATGATTCCTCCTTTCTCTAATATTACTTTATTATACCTATACATAATGCATACCAACAGCATTTACATTCTGGTCCTTAGTTGTAGTTGCCAGAAATCTGGCCTTCACAGAGCATACAACAAATTTACATTATACCTAGTACTTACAAACTTCATGGACTATTTAAACACCTTCAAACTTAAACAGAAAATAATCTTCTTGTTTATATAAGACAATGTCCTTAACTTTATGAGATGCATAATAAACTGAATATTAGGGGTACAACTTACTTTCAAATGGTTGGGGGTGAGGGGGGTGTTGAGCATATTAGAGAGAGAAAGCAAATATGGCAAAAGATAATCATTAACAAATTGAAATGAAAGGTGTACAAATGTTAATTGAACTATACATACTGCTAATCTTTCAAAAAGTATAACATAGTGTATATCAAGCAAATGTCTATGTGTAAAACTAGTAGAATAATAACTGGATTGCACCTGTAAGATGGAGAAAATAGATTTAAAATTTTAGAAGAAACACCGGGGGAGGGGAGTAATGCAATACCAAAAGATTACCTACATACACAAGTGGAATATGACCAGCAGGTGTAAGAAGTAGAAAAAAATGTAACCTAAGAGAGCTTAGATTTCTCCCTTTTTACAACTGAGAACAGTAGAGTCGTCCCTCAGTATCCATAGGGATTGGTTCCAGGACCCCGCAAAAAAACAAAATCTACAGATGTTATATAAAATGGCACAGTATTTGCATATAACGTATATCTGCATATAAGCTACAGAAGGGAATGGCTACACATCACTTCATTTGCATGGATTCAGCATAGTGCTCAGTACATGGCAAATTCAAGTTTTAGAACTTACTGAGATTTTTTTCCCCCTTCATATTTTCAATCTGCAGTTGGCTGAATTAGCAGATGCTAAACCTACAGATATACAGGGCCAACCATATTTTTATTTCCTGTAATTTTTCAATGTCACCATTTACTAACAGTAATCTGCCTTAAAAGAAAATTATTTTTCCTGATTACAAAAGTGATTATTATAAAGACATACCTTACACCTCACCATCCAAAAATTTAGTAACTATCCTCAATTTTTTTAAAATGAATACATATGTAAACTTACCTATTACAAAACTGAAATGATATTGTGCATAAATGTTCTACTAGTATAAGGTACTTTCCCCACTTGATCGTAAACATTTTCTAATGTCAAAAAACAAAAATACCTTGTAAGAACTTGACTAACCAAAAGTCAAATGGCTCAAATACTATCGGTACAAAGAACCTAATTATGCTCTTGGTAAAATGATCCAATATTTCATACAATGACAGAATGTGACAATCTCATTATACTTTTTAAAGCATGAGATATGTTTCTAAGAGGTAGTATAGTGTTTAAGAGCATGAATTCTGGAACAGGCAATTTTCAATTCCTGGCTTCCCCAATTAATAACTATATGACTTTTCTGACCTTGAATAAGTTACCATCCCTGAATCTGCTCCCTTATTTGTAAAATAAGTATAACAGAACCTACCTTATAGAGATATTGCAAAAATATTGAGTTAATACACAAAATGCCCTAAGAATAGTGCCTTGCACATAAGTGTCCAATAAGCACAAGCTAGTTATGATTATTTTCCATATTCCACGGGTAGGTAGCATCTTACATCCCAGGAACACTTGCAAACAAACTCCTGAATCCAAAACCTACAATCTTCGTTCCAATCTAAATTAAAAGTAAAAATAGGGCAAAAACAGAATGAAAATCACATTAACGTCAGGGAATAATACAATCAACAATCAGAGAATAGCTTCCTGATGATGGGTCAATGTCATCATCTTTGTGTGGAATACAAAATATTATTATACTAGAGGCCCGGTGCACAAAATTTTGTGCACCCGGGGGTGGGGGGGAGTCCCTCAGCCCGGCCTGTGCCCTCTCGCAGTCTGGGACTCCTTGGGAGATAACGACCTGCTGGCTTAGGCCTGCTCCTGGGTGGCAGAGGGCAGGCCCAATTCCTAGGTGCAGCCCCTGCTCGGGCTCAGAGCAGGACTGATTGGGGAGTTGGGGTGCCGCCCCCTGTCATGCACAGAGCAGGGCCTATCGAGAGGTTGCGATGCCACCCTCAGTCACGCTCAGGGTAGGGCCGACTGGGGGGTTGGGGCACCACCCCGTCACACTCAAGGCCGGGTCAATGGGGAAGTTGCAGTGCCACCCCCTGTCACGCACAGAGCAGGGCCAATCAGGGGGTTGGGGCACTGCCCCCTGGCACCCACAGAGCAGGGCCCATCAGGGCGGTTGGGGCTCCCCCCTGTCACTCACAGAGCAAGGCCCATCAGGGCGTTGGGGAGCTCCCCCCTGTCACTCACAGAGCAGGGCCCATCAGGGGGTTGAGGAGCTCCCCTGTCACTCACAGAGTAGGGCCGATAGGGGAGTTGGGGCACCGCCCCGTCACACACACAGCAGGGCGGATCAGGGGGTTGGGGCGCCGCCCTCTATCACCCACAGAGCAGGGCCGATCAGAGGTTGGGGAGCCGCCACTGTCATACTCAGGGCAGGGCCGAAGGGGAGGTTATGGCTCTACCCCATCACACACAAAGCAGAGCCCTTGGGGGGCGAGGGGGGTTGGGGTGCCACCCTCTATCACCCACAGAGCAGGGCCGATCAGGGGGTTGGGGCGCTGCCACTCTCACACTCAGGGCAGGGCCGATGGGGAGGTTATGGCTCTACCCCGTCACGCACAGAGCAGGGCCCATTGGGGGGGCGGGGGGGGGGGGGTTGGGGCGCTGCACCCTGTCACACACAGAGCCGCAGGGCGATCAGGGGGTTGGGGAGCTCCCCCCTATCAGGCACAGAGCAGGGCTGATCAGGGGGTTGGGGCGCCTTCCCCTGTCACGAACAGAGCAGGGCCGATAGGGAGGTTGTGGCCCCGCCCCGTCACACACAGAGCCACAGGGCAATCAGGGGGTTTGGGCGCTGCCCCATCACGCTGATCCCGGTGCCGGGAGGCCTCTCGGCTCCGCTGATCCCGGTGCTGGGAGGCATATTACCCTTTTACTATATAGGATAGAGGCCTGGTGCATGGGTGGGGGCCGGCTGGTTTGCCCTGAAGGGTGTCCTGGATCAGGGTGGGGGTCCCCACTGGGTGCCTTGCCAGCCTGGATGAGGGGATGATAGCTGTTTGCAGCTGGTCACACACCCTTCAGTTTGGGGGTCCCCACTGGGGTGCCTGGCCAGTCTGGGTGAGGGGCTGAGGGCTGTTTTCAGGCTGGCGGGTGACTGAAGCTCCCAACCGATCCTTTTTTTCTTTTTTTTTTATTCTGGGCCAGCTTTAGCTCTGGCTCCAGTCTGAGGCCCCTGCTGCTGAAAGCAGGTATCTGGTTTGTTTGGGTTCTATAATCAAAACACAATTTCAACTCCAGCTCTGAGATCCCAGCTGGCTGAAAGCAGGTTTCTGGGGTTTTGCTTAGCTTCTATATTTGTAACAATGTTTCAAACTGCAAGCTCAGAGGCCGGCAAGGCAGGCGGGGAACGTTGGTTTCCTCCGTCACTGAAGCAAGCAAGCCTCATGTTAGCTTCAAGCTGCCTAGCTGCCGGCCACCATCTTGGCTGGCAGTTAACTTGCATATCTCCCTGATTAGCCAATGGGAAGGGTAGTGGACATACAGCTAATTACCATGTTTCTCTTTTATTAGATAGGATAACAAACTAGAGGCTCAGTGTACAAATCCTGGCTTGCGGGGACTGGGCTGAAACCGGCTCACTGACATCTCCTGAGGGGTCCCAGACTGCGAGAGGGCACAGGCTAGGCCGGAGGGACCCCACCTGTGCATGGAGCCAGGAAGGGACTGCGGGAGGGCTCCCGGTGGTGTCCTGCCCATCTCGCCCAGTCCTGATCAGCCAGAGCCCAACAGCAAGCTAACCTACCATTCGGAGCATCTGCCCCCTGGTGGTCAGTGCACGTCATAGCGACTGGTCGAATGGTCGAACAAACAGTTGGATACTTAGCATATTAGGCTTTTATTATATAGGATAAACTTAATTTTTTTCTCTATGTCAAAGAAAGCTGATTCTGCCCTAGCTGGTTTTGCTCAGTGGAGAGAGCATCGACCTGCAGACTAAAGGGTCCCAGGTTCGATTCTGGTCAGGGGCATATGCCCAGGTTGCAGGCTCCAACCCCAGAAAGGGGAGTGCAGGATGCAGCCTATCAATGATTCTCTCTCATCATTGATGTTTCTCTCTCTCCCTCTTCCTTTCTCTCGAAATCAATAAAAATATTTTTTAAAAAAATAGTTGATTCTACAATCTTAAGAATAGGAGAGAAAAATCTGTAAAAATGTTTGACATTATAGATCTTATTTACTGAAAAACTCAATTACAATAAATGAGAGGATGTGTAATAAGGCTGGCACATTTCTATTCCTCAGAAAAACTCCTTATGATCAAAGCCGTTTTCAACAGATGTTTCACTTGTATAATTTTAAAATTAGGTACCAAGAGCATTTTACCCCAACATAAAAGTGTATAGTATGGCTCAGTTGGTTAAACATCATCCCGTGCACCAAAGGTTGCCAGGTTGCCAGTTTGATTCCCAGTCAGAGTACATGCCTGGGTTGCCACCCGATCCTCGGTAGATGGCATGGCATGCAGGAGGCAGCCAATCAAAGTTTCATTTTTCATATCAATGTCTCTGTCTTTTGCCCTTCCTCTTTCTCTAAAAATCAATTTTAAAAAATATTTTACTGCACTCTTAGAAACACTACTTCTACAACATGACCTCAAGCTTAAGCCACAGTATCCATTTCTTCATTAGAAACCAGTCAAGTCATTTTCTACAAGTGAATATCTATATCTAACAGTTACAAGGAAAAGTTCAAGATAAGAGGGTGTGTCTATAATTAAAAGCATATTTCAACACACCAACTTTTCAAGATAAACTAGTCTCTAAGAAATAAAAATAAAGCTAGCTGACTCAGAAGTGAAAGTTTTTTTATTATAAACTAAATCAATCACAAAGAACACAAAACATCAATGATTAAAACCTACAAATGTGTTAAATTTCTACCACTGACTTATGATATACAACTTAAAAGTCCAAAGGTGGAAATGTGTACATGATGTAGATTTCTATGGTAATCTGAAATGCCTTTATACCATTTCAAAAAAGTGTAGACACAAGTACAGACAGTAACCCATATAAAGGACTGTGACATTCACCCAGCCTAAGTACACACACACACTCTGGATCCAGGCATCCATCACCTTTCTACCCCAGACCCTGAATTTCATCCTAAACCCACTCTTATTACTTCATCCTTCTCCCATATTATATCCCAAACCATCTGCCTCTGCCTCCTTCCAGGAAATCTGGATGTGCAAATAAAACAATTCTGCTAAAGGTGTTATTGATAACTAGAGGCGCGATACACAAAATTCGTGCAAGGGGCTTGGCCCTCACAGCCGCAGCTTCATCTGGAAGGTCATTCAGCTGTCCAGTCTAATTAACGTATTACGCTTTTATTATTATAGACAGACTAGAGGCCTGGTACATGAAATTCATGCATGGGGGTGTGGGGGTGGGGTCCCTCAGCCCAGCCTGCACCCTCTTCAATCCGGACCCCTCAGACATCCCTCTCTCAATCCGGGACCGCTGGCTCCTAACCACTCGCCTGCCTGCCTGCCTGCCTGATCGCCCCTAACCCCTCTGCCTGCCTGCTCACCCCTAACTGCTTCTGCCTGCTTGCCTGCTCACCCCTAACCCCTTTGCCTGCCTGCCTGCCTGATCGTCCCTAACTGCTCTCCCCTGCCAGCCTCATCACCCCTAACTGTTCTCCCCTGCCGATCTGATCGCCCCTAACCACCTCTGCCTGCCAGCCTGATAACCCCCAACTGCTCTCCCCTGCCGGCCTGATAGCCCCTAATTGCCTCTGCCTTGGCCCCCGCTACCATGGCTTTGTCTGGAAGGACATCTGGAAGACATGTGGTATATCCGGTCTAATTAGCGTATTACCCTTTTATTAGTAGCATCCCTCCAATTGTGACAACCAAAACTTTCTCTAGACTACTTATGAATATTTTAGTGTCTGCTTTGGGTATATATTTTAACTACATGTTAATTTCTTTTTAAAATATATTTTTTATTGATTTCAGAGAGGAAGGGAGAGGGGGAGAGAGAGAGATAGAAACATCAATGATGAGAGAGAATCATTGATCAACTGTCTCCTGCACGCTCCCTGCTGGGGATCAAGCCCACAACCCTGGCACGTGCCCTTGGCTGGAATCGAACCCGGGACCCTTCAGTCCGCAGGCCGATGCTCTATCCACTGAGCCAAAACCAGGTAGGGCAGCTACATGTTAATATTTTACAGGACACAAAACTGCATAAATACTATGATGTAAATTCATAATAACAGGCATTTTAAAAGATTGAACAATTAATATTAAAACGTGATAAAATTGTGGAGAAAGAATTATGGATTTTGTAACTAACAGATTGCAAACTAAAGTAGGCCTGGAAACACCATAATTATAATAATATTTGTATAGCAGTTTACAGTCTCTTCAGCATCCCATTTAACTCTTAGGAAATGAGACAGCAAATTAATATCTCAACACATAAGTGTAGGATTCTATCTGTATTCTTTTGAAAACAAAATCCAAAGTTTATAGCTCAAAATGTGTGTATATCTTTTGCCATCATCAATAGAAACAAAGATCAATGAAAA